TAAAAAAAATTATTTATATAAATTTTAATTATAATTTATATATTTAAATATAATATTATTTATATAAATTATTATAAATTTTAGCTACATATAATAAATATTTAACTTAATATATTACATACGCTAGTTAATAAATTAATTATAATAATACCAAAATATATATTAATTATAAACATCAAACAAAATCTTAAACGGTCAGCAAGTTATATCTTCCAATCGTCTCCCAAAATGTTGATATAGTAAATCAAATATCTTGTCTAGGGAATCAAATACTCTATACAAATTTAATAATAATAAAAAATCTCTATTAATTAGACAATCAATCAATATAAAATATTTGGCTCAATAATAAAATTCACGAACTTATATAGGAAACACCATATATCATTCTAATACATTTCATACTTTAAAATATAGATTCTTTTAATTTAGATATCAAAATCTCTGCATGTCTCTCTATTATCGTTGTTATAGAGGGATAGCTAGCATCCAATTTCTTTATTCCAAAAATTCTATAATTGCATATTAGGTACGACTCTTTTCGTTTTACATTCAAATTACTAATTAAAAGATTCATTTATAAATTTTTATTTTACTTTGATATTGCATATATTTAAAATCAAAGGATAGGGTGCAATTAGTTTTTCTGTCTTTCTTACTAAAGAACAATCGTAAACATTGAGATTTGAGAGATGACTTTTTGAATAGACGTGCTTATAAGGCAATTTCAAAATTGAAGGATCATATAAAGAGATATTTTTAAAATATCAGTTTAAACGGTTAAATTTAATGTTTTTCTTTTTAACATTTAATGTTTTAAATTTTTTTTTTTTTGTTTTTTATTTGTATCAAAGAGGTTCCTTTGTTACATTTGGAGTTGTGAAGCACACATTTTGCAAGGTAAGATGGTTTTATAGTTCCTTTTAGGTAAAATATTGTTTGGCCGGATTAAAAGAGAAAGACACTAAATTTTATTGCAGAAAATGTGACGGAATACACATCATTTGTGTTAAGGTATTGATAAATAAATAAATAAATAAATAAATAAATATATATATATATATATAAAGGAGAAATATACTTAATTTAAGGAAATATTTGATAGGGAAGAAGATTTTTCATATTCAACAATAATGATTATTGGAAATTAATACATAAAATATGTTTGATTATTTATAAAAGTTCCTAAAAATATTTATACAATATTTTTGGAAGTTAAAAAGATTTTCATATTATATATATATATATATATATTGATAAAATATCTTTTATTAAAATAATTTTATTAAATATATTTATTTACTCAAATTTTATTATAAATATGACATTAAACTATTTTAAGAAGTTAAAAATTTATAGTTAAAATTATTTAAATACAAAATTCAACAAAAAAATAAATAAAGAAAAATGTTGCATAATAATTTAGAAAGACAAAAATATATTATTTTTTTTTTTCATTAAAAAATGAATGAATAAGTGTTAACAAATATTATTAAATTATAGAAACAAAATAAACTTTAATAATAATACTAAAATTGATAAGGTCAAGAAATAATGAAATATAAGAAAGAGAAATAGAGATATGAGAAGGAGGGAGAGAGAGATAGGGGAGAGAGGAAGAGTGAGAGTGAGAGTCACAAAGAGAGGGAGATAGAGAATTAGAAGGATAAAGAGTAAGAGAGAAGGAGACGGAGGGAGGTAAAGGGGAGAGAAAAATAAAAGGAAAGAGGGAGGGCAGTGAGAGTGAAAGAGACCGAGAAAAAAGAGAAATAGAAGTGGAGAGAGATTTTTTGTTTTAGAAAGGGATATTGTAGCCTTTTATATATACAAAACTTTTCTCCTAGCTCCGGAAAGTTAGATTTTCACTCCCCTTATGAAAATATTTTTGTGAAAAAGTAAGTATAACAACAACTTTAACAACCATAATAGATTTGAAATTTAATATATACGAATTGATTATTATTTTTTTCAAAAAATAGTTTTGTCTCCTTATGTGAAATGTTAGTATAGTTTTGGGATGTGTTGAAATATTGTTGATTTATTTTTTTTAGAAGAAAATATTGTTTATTTTCTTATTAATGGCTCGTATTATTTAAGTTACATTTATTTTGAGGATCAATTTCGGGATACATACTAGTTATCTTTTACCATTTATACTAAATCATTAAAATAGATAATTTTGTTAAAATTACTCCTTTGAGTTGATTCGTAACATCTAAAATAATTCTGAGATTTTCTTTGAAAAAACATTTTATTAATTAAGAATATACCCATATAATTCTATATGACTCTTTAAAAGATTCTAATCTAAAAAATTTGATATCTTGTGGTATAAATAATAATTTCTTTATCGATCTAATCTTACTATTTTTAATTTCTTGACTTATATTATTCGTTTATATTTATTCATTTTAAATAATTCAAATTGAGAATTCTAATTAACTTTTATCATTTATATAATGTACATTTTTTTTATCGAAAGTTAAGTTTTATCAAAAAATTAAGATCTATTACATTAAGTGTCAAAATTAGTAAAATAATAATATCTTTAATAATTCTTTTATAAAATACAAATTTGATCTAAAATTGTCAAATTAAATCATATTATATGTATATAAATTAGTATAAATAGATATTTTAAACATATAAATTATATTTTAAATTTATGATAAATAATATTTATTGTAGAAAAATTTTTATTTCAATTTATTGATAACTTATTTTAAGATATTAATATTTAATTTATAAATAAATATGATAAATAAAAATTGGATTAGATATAAAAAAATAAATTAAAAAAATTTATACAAACCTTCTTATTAAAAAAAATCTTTAAAAATATTATTGTAAAAGATAATTATTCGTATTTAATATATAAGAGCTCATTTATGAGAATCATTAATATATTTTCTCAAAATCTTGACTAAACGTTTAAGCAATTATTAATGGGACCATTAATAGGATTTCCAGTCTTTAAATATGGCAAAACAAATTGTGAAGCATGATCACCTGATTTATTTTTTTCCCTCAAACAGTCATGACTAGTGTCTTCATCTTCATTGTCCTCCTTTGTTGTTGTTCTCAAATTCACAATGTGGCCTCTGCTGATTATGGATCAGCACTCACAAAATCTTTGTTGTATTTTGAGGGTCAACGCTCGGGGAAGCTTCCTCCCAATCAGAGAGTAAACTGGCGTGGAGATTCAGCACTCAATGATGGCAAAGATGCTGGAGTAAGATGATCATGAATTCATGATCGTTTAACCTTTGAATTTTCCTTCATTTTTTTAAATTAAATTATTCCCAACATGCTTCTTTATAATAAAAATACCATATTAGTGTTCGCTTTATATCTCATACAGCCACGCATGCATATTCAGCTTTGATTGTTTTGTATATTGATATATATATATCATAAACTTTAAAATGTGTTTAATTAATCCCTCAAACTGTGATTATTTCATTAGTTAATTTCTTTTGTTCAGTTGCTATTATCATTTAAAATATGATGCTTAATTTCATAACCGTACAATATCAATAACATTAACTCATTAAAATTATTCGCTGGAATTCTTAGTTGATATGCCTTTTAATCCTTTATAAATAAATATAATATGAAAATATTTTTTATTATATCCTTAATTATTTATTGTGAAATTAAAATAATATATAAATATGAGATAAAGATTAATTAATATGAAAAAATAGAAATAATAGAAGAAGCATTACATTTTTTTTTGTGAAATCTAATATATTTATTGTACGTATTACTTAATTTTTGAGTAAAAATCTTTAAAAAAAATAATAAATTAACGGATATTTCCTCCACCATCTTATTTGAGATTTGATATTTAAGGTTTTTGTGATTTTATAAAAATCACTATTAATTATGCAATTTCATGGTGTATATCTCTTTCTTTTTATATCAATTGTATTTTTCTTTCATTTCCTTTTTAATTTTCTCACTTGCAACTCTATAATAGGAAAAAAAATATTTCATTGTATTGAAAAGTAACAACAAAAATGGAAGAAAATAAATAGTCAAACAAAATGACATAGAAATATATATACAAGAGTCAAATTTATTTTTATCATGCATGCATGCCTGCCTGGGTTACACATGTCAGACAAGTAATAAGCTCATGAATTTCAACTAATTAATAAAAGTGAGTGTTTTATTAACAAATGTTAAGAGAGTTAATTAATACTGTGCTTTTTTCTTTTAGAAACAAAAGGATGACAGTAATTAATGGATAAGTTGATTGCAGATTGATCTGGTGGGTGGATACTACGATGCTGGAGACAACCTGAAGCTAGGGTTTCCGCTAGCATTTACTATAACGATGCTTTCATGGAGCACGATAGAGTTCAGGGAGAAACTTGCGCAGCAGAAGGAGCTGCAAAACGCGCTGGGCGCCATTAGGTGGGGAACCGACTACTTGATGAAAGCTCACCCACAGGCAGACGTGCTCTATGGGGAAATCGGCGACCCGGATTCCGACCATTCCTGCTGGCAAAGGCCAGAGGACATGACAACGTCTCGCGCCTCCTTCAAGATCGACGACCAGCATCCCGGCTCTGATCTCGCCGCCGAAACCGCCGCCGCTTTGGCTGCTGCTTCCATAGCGTTTCAACCATTCGATAAAACATATGCATATAGGATGCTGCAGCATGCAATTCAGGTAAAGTAGTCTGTAGGATTCGAATCCAGATTAAGTTATCACCATCTCAAAAAATACTATAATAAATGTTACTTATATACAAAAAATGTCACTATAAATATAATATATATAACTATATATCTATTAGTGTTAATTTTGAATGAGATTTAATAACATATTTTGTGTATATTTTTAGCGTTAATTTTGAATGAGATTTAACAACATATTTTGTGTGTCACTATAGCTTATACCCACATCTTTTAAATATATACCAACATATATTATATTTAGAATTAATCATCTATACACTGTCAGTGTAAAGTTTTTTTACACTGACAACCAATTATATCTTTTAATTGTGTCATGTCACTATTAAAAGTAAATGTGTTTACAGTGATATGACACAATTAAAAGATATAATTGGTTGTTAGTGTAAAAAAACTTTACACTAATAATGTATAGTTGATTAACTCTTATATTTATTATATAGATAAAAGTAGTTTTTAGTGACACATATTGTGTCACTATAAGATATGTGTTACTATATTACAATTTCCTTATAGTAAAAAAAAGAATAAGTGACTCTGCATCAATAGAATCTTATCATCTATATACAACGAATTAGTATGATATATTCAAATCATAACATATGAACGGTAAAAACTAATATTTTAACTGAGACTAGAACTCACATGAAAAAAAATAGATTAATTAAGTTTCTTGATGAGAATTATTGATAAAATTAGTTAATATTTGATATCAATAGTATGATTATAAAAAAAAATGAGAAATATGTTATTTTGTTCTTTAAATTGAAAAAATATCAATCTATAAGAAACTTGTTGGTTATATACATACCATAATTTAAATTTTGTTCGGAGAGGAAATTATTATCGTAATTGAATTTCTAAATTTTTTTTTTTTGTGATATTAATCCGTCGTTCCTTTGGCTTGCAGTTGTTTGACTTTGCAAATAATCATAAAGGCTTGTATTCAGATAGTATCCCACCAGCGAAGGAAATATACTCAAGCAGCGGATACCAGGTGGGTGGGTCGTTGACCAATTTTGCTTTTCTTGTCTCTAAAAAGTGGGATGGGTTTGAATTTATATTTTTAAAATTCATCTCTATCGATTTTGTCAGATTTGAGTAAATTGATGGGATTACATTTTTAAAAAAATTAATTAATTTACTTATGCATTTTAAATAAATTAAATTATAAGTTAATAAATATATTAAAATACAAGTAAAAAATTTAAGAATTAAATTATATTTTAATTAAACATAAAACTTTAAATTTATTACTTAATTATTGTTATAATTTAAATTATTTAATTATAAAAATAATTAATTTGTATTTTAATATTTTATAAAATTAAAATATGGTATGTATATATATGAGGAGGGTTCAAACGACACCGGTGTAATTTTTACTAAGTGTTACACCACTCAATAACTTTATATTAAATGTGAATTTTGAAAATCCAACGGTTAGATTGAAAGTTCATATCTTTTAGATCATATATACAAAATTTTTTATTAATCCAAGATTGTTTGATACTTCATTCTCATAAAACAAAATTGGCGTAATATATTCATTTTAAAATACACTAAAATATGAACTATTTGATTACCTTTAAGTTGTTGTTCAAATTTAACAAAATTTGATATATATGATCTAAGAGATATGAACTTTCAATCTAATGGTTGGATTTTTAAAATTCAAAATTAATATAAAATTATTGAGCAATATAATATTTAGTAAAAATTACACCAATATCATTTGAACGCTCTTATATATATTGCTGAAAAAGAAATACAATAGAGTGGGGGTGGGGCAAAGAATTACATTCCCGAACTTTCATCCAAAAGTAAAAAAAAAAAAACTCATATCTAGTCAAAGCAAGTTTTTTTCGGTCAAAATCAGGTCAAAGTTGAATGAGTAGTCATAAATGCGAATTTAATTATCATACCTAGTTTTGAATAACATTAAATTTAAAAGTAATTTTATTCTTGATTAATTATGTTTTGAAATAATTATTCCATTTCAAAAGTGGTTACATTTCACATTATTAATTAATAATGACAAATTAATTTTAGAATTTACAAAATCTATCTTTTTTAGTTTATAAAATCTAAATTCAATGGACTGTTTTTGGAAAATTGAAATTAAATGAAATTACATTTATTATGAGTTAAATTTTGATAGTTATATAATAATGGCATATTAAATAAAATGTGGAGATGCATTTATGTTTAAACAGGACGAATTACTATGGGCAGCAGCATGGCTTCAACGTGCCACCAACTTGAAGAAGTACCTTGATTACCTCGGAGGAGCAAGCGACATCGGCGGCCCAAGATCAGAGTTTAGTTGGGATGACAAGTATATAGGTGCACATATTCTTGTAGCAAAGGTATCACCATTATTCACTTCACCAATGTTCAATACTTTTCTCTTTTATTCATCTAAAAGTTTGTTTTGGATAAATTTATCGAAAAATGGACCCTTATAATAAACAACTCACGGACTTATTAATACCAATATTTAATATGATATTGGTTAATAAAGATGTTATATATAATAAGTAATTTATTGATGCATTGTTTTCTTTTTGGATTTGAATGGGTGGTGGCGTGGTGCAGCTTGTTTTAGATGGTAAAGTGCCAGCATCAGGGATATGGGCTCAATACAAGACGCAGGCAGAGCAATTCATATGCTCTTGTGCGCAGAAATCAGACCAAAACGTGCAGAAAACTCCAGGGGGTTGGTTATGGTTTTTGCCATGGAACAATAATCAATATGTCGCTACTGCAACATTTGCAATGTCAGTTTATTCCAATTACTTATCTTCTTCAAAAGGTGCCTCTCTCCAATGCAGAGGTGGCGTTCTTAGTCCTAATGATCTCACCCCTCTTGTCCGAGCTCAGGTAGTGGTGATGTTAATGATAATGATGTTATGAAAACTACTAAGTCTTGGAAAAACATGACATAATGTTTCAATTTTCCTTTTTGTCAACAATTAATAACAAACAGGTGGACTACATTTTGGGTTCCAACCCCAGAAAGATAAGTTACATGGTGGGATATGGGACAAATTTTCCGCAACAAATTCATCACAGAGCAGCATCAATTGTGTCCATAAAACAGGATAAAACCCCAGTGACATGCAAAGGTGGCTTTCAGGATTGGTACAACAGACACGCACCAAATCCCAACACATTAGTAGGCGCAGTTGTGAGCGCAGACGTAAATGACAATTACCAAGATAGTAGGGGTGACTTCCAACTGGCTGAGCCAGCAACTGTTACTAATGCACCTTTGGTGGGTGTTCTTGCGTATCTAGCTTAACTTGTAACGCTTTTATACCTTATCTCGTTTTTTTTGGTATTAATAAGGAGGGATTATATTATACTTTTCATTACTAAAATTTTTTCTATTACATACGACTTTTCTTGCGAATTTTTTATTTACAAAAAACGTTGTTCTTATAAGATTTTTTGCGAAATTTTAACTGCAAGTAATACCTTCGTGGATAATATATTTTTGCGAATTTTAAAATTCACAAGAAATTTTTCTGCGAAATTTTTTGTGAAAAAATTCGCAGGAAAGTTTCCTACAAAAAATTTCACATGAATGTTTCATGCAAATTTTTTTTTACAAGAAATTCTGCAAGAATATTTTTTATGAAAAAAAATTAAAGAAATTACTATAAATTCTATGAATAATTCTTCAACTTTCAAATGTTCACAAATAATTTATCCGAAGCATTTGTTTTCATACCTCCAATATGTGATACATAATCTTTTAAATTATAAGATTGTAGATTATAAGTCTAACACTTAACTATACAAATCAACTTGTAAGGTAGGTGTTGCCCTAACTTATATACTATTTAATTGTTTTATTTTCAATCGATGTGAAACTTGAATTTTGTTTAAGATATTAAACTTCTAAATTTAAATATTTTTTTTATTTTTCTTGCGGATTAAAATTGGCAGAAAAATTCGCAGGAAAAGTTACCTGCAAAGTTTTTCTACTATTTAGTAAATATTACTTGCGAATTTATTTTTGTAAGAAAATCTGTAAGAAACAAAATAAAATTCTTACAATATTTTTTGCAAATTTTTACCATAAATTTTTTTTATGATCATTAAAATTGTAATAAAATTTGTAAAAAAAATTTGTAAGAAATATCTATAAATATTTTTCACAAATAAATTCATTAAAAAATTTGCAAAATCATTATTACAAGAAAATTAGTAAAAAAAATTTACAAATATTTTTAAAATAAAAATTGTAAAAAATGATACTTTTCTAATTGTATTCGTATCTAATTGTAATTTTGGTAAATTAATAAAGGGAAATACATTTGGTAACATATATATGTCCCAGTCCCAGTCTCTCACATCAACTCTAATGATATTCGTTCCAGAACTTTGATTTGCAGTTTAATTATTTTTAATTCGTTTCAATTTCCGCGTTTCTTGAAGGAAAGGGTTTTATGACTGAAGAGTTTCTGCTATGTTGGCCAAATTTCATTTCTTCTCCCTGGAATCCACCCTTCAACGGGTTGCTAAAGTAGTCTATATATGGAAATATATGAATAATTTTAAGTTTATTGAGCTTAAAAATATATAATATTTAATAAATTTAATGGTTATAGGAGAGATAGATGTAATTTGTAACATTCGTAAAATTTAAAAGAACAAAATTTATGATAAAATAAAAGATTAAAAGTACAAGAGGTAATCAATCGTAAAAATAAAATAAGAGAGTGATAGAGAATGCACATTAAATAAGAAATAAGTATATTTTTCTCCATGTGATAGAGGATGGATATTAAATAAGAAATAAGGTGTCACACATTAGTTGATAGTCTATTTGTTTGATGTGTATGTCTCCTAATTTATTTTATTTGTTGATGTTAATTTTGCGGAAACTTTCATTTTTACATAAAGTTAAGGCTAAAATTCTATTTTGGTACCTTATATTAATTGTTTGTTTCAATTTAGTCTCACTTTTATTTTTGGTTTCAATTTGGTCCCATATTAATTAATTGGTTTCAATTTAGTCCCAAATTAATTAATTAGTTTCAATGTGGGACTTCCGTCCAAATTATTTAAACGGAGTTAACTTTTAGTCACGTAGATGCATACGTGGATGCCACGTGGATGACAATTTTTTTTAAAACACCTGAACCCAGAACGGCCCGTTCTGAAACCAGAACGGGCCGTTCTGGTTGCACTTTTGGTGTGTTATGCAATTTTGATCTCACAATTTTTAATTGAACAATTTTAAACTCTCACAATTTTAAAAGATTACAGTTGTGTAATTTTAGTCTCACAATTTTTAATTGAACAATTTTAATCTCTCAATATCATAATTGTGCAATTTTAGTCACTCAAATATCTAATTAATATACTTATATTTTTGTAAAAGTATATTAATATATAACAAGTTATATTTATCAAATTATTAGTTTATCTATAAATATATTAATAATATTATTGATATAATATCAAAAATTATAATATACGTTAATTTGAATAGATAAATAATTGTTTAATTTTAAAATATTATATATATATATAT